TATATAATTTTTTTTCTTTCCTTTTCTTCATTCCCCCAACCCAGTTTCTCTTTCCTTTTGAAGTTTCTTCCCATTTTACAATACATATTGTACATTTTGGATCTTATTTACTCTTTCAGGTTCTCACACTAGGGAGACAATAGGGTGTTTGCACGTGTGTGTCTGGTTTGTTTAACTTATGCGTATAGTTTTGAGTTGCATCCATTTACCTTTAAAGGTCTCCAGTTTATTCTTCTTTAGTCTTTTTTTTCTTGACGGAACCAGGGATTGAATTCAGGCCCTTGCGCTTGCCAGGCAAGTGCTTATTCTACTGAGCCATCTCCTCGGTCCTTATCCTTCTTTATGGCTCCATAAATACTCCATTATATAAAAAGACCACATCTTTTTTTATATCCGTTCCTCACTTGATGGGCATTTGGGTTGTTTCTAAGACCTAGCTATTACAAATCATGAGGCCAGCCAGATAGCTCAGCAGACTAAAGTGCCTGCTTAGGCAGAGCGATCCGGTTAGGTGCTGGCCCTGCCCCTGGGGTGCACTGAGACAGCTATTGAGACTGAGCATGGAAGCCCGCACCTGTGATCCCAGCGCTTGGGAGGCTGAAAACAGGAGAATCACTGTAAGTCTGATCTACCCTGTAAACTCTGTACTAAATACCAAAAAAAGTGCTGCTATAAATATGGGTGCACATATATCATTGGAGTATGATGTTTTTAATTCTTCTAAGAAGATAGCCAGAAGAGGAATAGCTGGCCGTATGAAATGGGACTTCCAATCTTAATTTTTTGAGTAATTTCCATACTGATTTTCATAGTGTTTGCACCAGTCTGTGTTCTCATTAACAGAGGTGAAGGATTCCTTTTTCTCCCTAGCCCCTGGATTTCACAATAACCGTTCTTTCCAGGGTGAAATGGAATCTCAGTGTTTTAATTTGCATCTTTTGAATACCAGTGATGTTGAACAGTTTTTCATTTCTTTCTTTTTTTTTTTTTTTTTTGCTGTTTGTATTTTTTTCATCTGAGAAGTGTGTATTCATCTCAAAGGCCCATTTTTGGATTGGGTCTTTAAATTTGGGAGGTTTTTTTTTTGTAGTTCTTTGTATGTTCTTGATAGTAATCCTTTGTCTGAAGAGAAGTTGGCAAGCATTTTTCCCCACATTATGGGTTGTCTCTTCATTCTGTTGGTGGTTTCTCTTGTGTGCAGAAGCTTTTTAATGAGATCAGATCCAAGTTGCTGACTCTTTGTGGTAGTTCCTGTGCAATTAGGGTTTTATTCATAAAGTCTTTGCCTATACCAGTGTCTTTAAGAGTTTTAAAACTATTCTATCCTCCAGAAGATCTAATGTTTCTGCCTTAATATTAGATCTTTGATCCATTTCAAATTTAGTTTAGTACATGGTGAAAGATATGGGTCCAGTTTTAATCTTTGGCATGTGCAGAGCCAGTTTTTCCAGTATCATTTATTAGAGAGGCTTTCTTCCAGTGAATGTGTTTGACCCCTTTGTCAAAGAAAAGGTGGCTATGCCTGGAGTTGTTTCTGC